AATTCTTTTCACGATCCCCCCCCCTCCTCACGCTCCTCCAACATGTACAGAATTGCTGGAACAGCGACCGATATTTGTCAACTGTACTGAGGTACGTACCTCTCTGCATCAAAAACGTTCTTTGAAGATAAATAAAAAATCAATTCTGACTGTCTTCTCCGTAAAGCCTAATAATCAATTCTTTCTTTTTTGATGAACCTAAGTTTTTTCTTTTTGTTTCAGAAAATCCGGCCAAAATTTGACTTCCAATGATGGCGCTAAAATAAGGCGATATTTTGCTAATCTAATGCTCTCACCAGCAACGTTTTCCCGATATCGAGCTCATTTTCCCCTTTCTAAATTTTCTAAGTCCGTTTGTATTATGGAATCGTTCTGTCCCTAGTCGCTTGTTGAAATTCATATCGTTTTCGTTTTATAATAAAATGATACAAATTCTAGATTATAGCTCGCACGCAAATAAATTTATATTTTAATGAATGTATTTGTGCGTGTGTCCTTTATTGATTCTTAAACCATCCCACCGAAAGCTATAAAATTTTGCAGACAGATAGTTCAAAGTACGAGAAAGGTCACTGTCGGCATTAGAATATTCTACGACACACATTTCGAGCATAATCAGCAAAAAACGAATTGGAATTTTCCAATTGGTTAAGCTCTAGCCATTATTTTATATTCAAATTCAGATTATACAATGAATTTATATATTTTAATTTTTTTATATATTATATATTTTAATTTTTTTAATATATTATATATTTAATTTTTTTATATCTATTATATATTTTAAAGATAACATCAGTGATATTTGTAGCTTATAGCTTTATTTCATAAAAAAAGACTTAGTTGTAGAACGCCTTGACTAGGTCAAAAAAAACTTATTTTTTTTAGTTATCAAATACCATATGTTTTATAATTATTCTTCTAAAATGTGTTTCTAAAAAAGTAATTATTTAAAATAAACGGTAATTGAAATGTAAAAAAAAATACACAAAACAAAATCACGATTACAATAAAACACATAAATAATAAATCTAAGTTAAGTAAAAGATCTTAGACGAGAAAGAATTATATTTCAACAAATGAGATGTACGATACGGCTTTGTATTCACTCTGATATGGAGGAACTTTATGATATGGCTGAACATTAACACACCATTATATCTACAAACGATGTGTGGGTATCAGTGATTTTCTTCTTCTTGCAGTGTAAGTGAGATCTCAGAGAAATGAATAAAATCGTTTTCGGAAAAATTAAATTATTTAGTAAATATTAAGTTGAATACAGCCACATTCAAAAATAAAGAAGAGAAGTAAGCCCCTTATAGGGACTTACTTCTCTTATAATTGTTGGGAACTGAGAGGCCCAAAAGGCCCTCCAGTCCATCGTCAATAATTAGAAATTGAAAGTGAATTGATTGTTCCCAACGAACCAGTTAGGAGAATGGGAAGAGATCCATGGTTGACGATTTATTGAAAGATAACATATCCCAAAATAAAGCCAACCCCCATAATCAATATTAAATTTGAAAATAATTTGGCGAAAGCGAACATTTTTGCGGGAAGAAATAAAGAGTTATAGATAGATATTCGTTTTCGCTTTAGTCGCGGCAGTATAAAAAGTTAGCAGATACATTGATCGTTAAGAAAAGAATAAAATTTTTTATATTTCTTATTTTATAAAGTGTAATAAAAATAAAATAACAATTGATTTAATATAATTAAAGTTTGATTAAGAATGATTAAAAAATATAAGTTCAAGAAATTAAAGAGATTTTAAAAGCTAGGAATTATATGTAATGGCTATTGTGGCAATACAGTGTCACTTATATGACGCGCTAGGCTTACTCCAAGTGGATTGGAAATAACAGTTTCTAATATAAACAAATGCCATGTTTCATCAGCCAATCAGGATCGATATACACACTACTGCATCACTTGCAGGCATCGAATTAACTCTTTCCGGTGGTATAAGGTTCATACTCAGTATCTAAAACACAAAATTTCATTAATGAAAACCATTATTATAGATTAAAGTATTCTCTCTAATTGAAGCATTTTTACAAAATATTAAAAAATAGAAGCAGATGAAACCACTAGAAATAATTTAATAAATTAAAGCTCGCTAAACTCCTAATTTAAATGCAGAAACAAAACGTGCTAGAAACAAATATGCAGGTTAACATAAGTTACATAAAATTGAAGAAATATTTTTACCGTAAATGTTGAACATAAATAAGTATAATATAAAAAAAACAGTTAGTAGGAATAACATTTACCATGACGCAATGCTAAATTCTATGCCACTATCCACATAAATGCCACTATCCACATAAATCAATTATTAATCAAAAATCGAATATCAATTACTTTTCTTTATAATGCAATAAAATCTGGTGAGCAGCTACTTAAACTATCAAACACTTCGTTTGTTTATTTGTGACTTGAAGTTAGGCTCGCAGAAAATGCCGTTCATGGGTTAAATTTAGTAGGAATAACACAACCTGTGACGTAGGCTATAGTATACCCAAATAGGCTCTATCTCGTTCGTCTAAAAGACATTTTTCAAGGCATTTATATTTTTTAATTTCAAATAATGAAGCATTTTAATACCAAACATTAATAATAATTAAATGTTCACATCTTTTTTAATCACAAATGTTTGATTTTTAAAACTTTATATTGATATCCTTTAAATGAATATGCCATTAACTTTATAATAAAAATTAATACTTAGTTAAAATGAAGTTTAGTATGAGATCTTAAAATCTTTTTTTTTCCATCTTTATTTTAAAATCTTAAATCAAGATGATATATTCACATGATTCGATAATTCAATATGAAAAGGTAAAAGGCCCCTTACAACCTTTTCAAACTGTGTCTATGATACCAAGTTCGCCAACAAGTAAAACAACGCCAAGTTCTGACTTAACCGGTCACTGATGACTGATAATGTACATGAGTGAATCGAATATGACAATAACGTGATATACAGAGCAATAATTTTTCTGTACGATATTATGGTGAATATTGTTACATTTTATTTGGGAAACAAAAATGTTAACTCAATGTTGAAATAAGAAGAGTTAGTAAAATATCACGATATGTTATTGTCAATGCATCGCGATATTGAAATTCGTACTCATTAGTCATGGGTGGATATTAATATTTGTATGGGTGATAACTTGAAAAGGCAGTCGCCAACATATGCCACCAATATTTTTTTAGCCAGTGAAGTTTTTAATTGAGTAACATATTACTACAGTTTCTTGGAATTATTTATTTAATGATGGTATGTGTTCGTCCCATCAAAATAAAGATGACTGTAGTGTATTACAATTCACTAGTATATAACACATATAAGCGTAAAACTTAAGACTGTTGTTTCATTAGGCTTCTAAAATAATCTGCAAGCAAAATAAAATCTTTCCTTAATCAATTTTGTTTATCAATTTAATACTTATAAGTGACGTCACGCGTGAGTTAGCCAATTAAGTTTTGCACACTTGCACGAATGTCATATATGTCACATGTCTGTTCATCTTATTTTTATGAGAGTTGCGAATGGCAACGAGAGAAAAAAAACTGATAAAAAATAATAATAAAAATGGTTGCTCTAAGAAATGTCTTTTGATTATTTATCCTGTATTCCTGTCGCGTACAACTGGTGACCCGGATATACTACTGATACTAATATAAAAAGTATTCGCAAAGAAAACCTAGCATTTTCTAAAGTAAATGATGGAGGAAACCACATCATCTCTAACATCCGAAGAAAAGGAAGAAGTGTGTAAAATTGGCGTTAAAATTCCACCGTTCTGGCCCGAAAAACCTGAGATTTGGTTTTATCAGGCAGAAGCGCAATTTTCTATCAGTGGAATTTCAGCGGAAGGAACTAAATTTAATTACCTGGTCTCGCAGATGGAGCATAAATATGTGGAAACAATATGGGACATTATTATCGCGGTAAAAATATACTTGATTGTGCCCCTTGGCGAAATTGGCAACTTATGTTTGGCGCCATTCCTGTTTGTTCTGAGCACCGTGGTAACTATGAGTTTAACTTGCAAAGCAGACTACGCTGAAAATGATAAAAACACAAGTAAACTGGAATACAACATTTATTAATGGAATACAACATTAACTAGAATACAACATTTATTACTTTTAGACTTGAATGAAAATAGTTCAGGTAGGAACTTTAACCCGTTTTCGGCACAAAATCGTTCTACGTCGATAGTTGATCGAAGTCTCTCTTTGCTTGAAGGTGGGTAATAGTAAACATCTATTCTTGAACTTAATTTTCTTGGTGCTTCAACTCTCTTCCACTCTTCAATTTTTATTGGTAGCATTTCTTCTTTCTTTTTAACAGTTTTTTCGTCATTGTCTAACACTTGTTCTTGGTAGCTGTCTTTATATCTTACGTATTCACACTTCTTATTCTTCCCAAATAATGACTCTACTCCATTTTTCGTTTCATCAAAGCTAGCATGAATAGTTTCTACTACTCTTCTTTCTTCTGGAATACAGATCTTATAACCCTTCGTTCTTGTTGCGTAGTCAACTAAGATTCCTAGTTTTGATGTCTTGTTCAACTTGTTGCGTTTTACTTTGGGTACGTGAACAAACGCCTAAGAACCAAATATTCTTAAATGTCTAACTGATGGTTTGTATCCATTCCAAATTTAAAAAGGTGTCAATCCATTTGTAAACTTGTGTTCACTTCGGTTTCGTACATGAACGTACATATATAGAGCTTCAGCCCAAAATCGATCATTTAGTCCACTATCGTGAAGTGATGCGCTAACAGCTGCAACTGCGTCACGGTTGAATTTTTCAGCAATCCCGTTTTATTCTGGAGAATAAGTTGAAGATCGCTCTATTCGAATTCTCAGATTGTTTAAATAATCTTCAAACTCGGCGTGACAAAATTCCATTCCGTTGTCTGTTCGGACTGACTTCAATTTGCAGTTTAACTCTCTTTCAGATTTTACGAGATATGTTTTGAAACATTTAAAAACTTCTGCTTTCTTCTCTACAGTAAAAACTTCCACTTTTCTGGAAAAGTCATCTATTATCGACAAAAAATATCGACTTCCACCCATTGAAGGTGTTGGAGAAGGTCCCCACAAATCCATATGCACCTTATCCAGTACTTTATTTGTTAGACGTTGATAATTCCTTTTAAAAGATGCTTTGTCACTTTGCAAGTAATACAAGTTTCAGATTTACCTTTCAGTTGCTGAATTCCTTTTACAACATTGTTATTACTCATGTACTTAACCGTGTTTGTGAAGAAGAAAAACTGTCTTCGTAAATTAATGCTCGATTGTCTAACGCTCCCAGTGCCAGAAAAAGATTTTAAATGTAAATATACCGCTTTGTTCAAATTGCTGAACTACATGTAAATAAATCCATTTTAATATTATGTATTTTAAAAAAGAATCTGGATATCTTTTTCCTTTAGATTTTGAAACAAATGCATATCCTTACATTTTCCTTAAGATTAATTTTAAACATTTCAATTTTTACACAAGTTTTATAGCCTCAGACAGTCTAGATAAGATTTATTTTATTCAAAATATTATCTTCAGAGGCCGAAAAATAAAACTGTTCTTGAGTGAACAATTCCATAATTTGAAGATAATTGTAATTGTTTTATAAATTTTTAATTTTGAATAAAATGATTTATTCTATCTTGCTCATATTTTGGCTAATATTTCATTGAAAACATTTTTATCTGGAAGAAATGTCGAAATTTTTCATCAAAATATAAAGAAATTTGCTTTGATATATATATTGTTTTCAGATAGTTTTAGGTTTCATATATAATCTGAGTTTAAAATATAAGATAAGTTTAGTAAAATTTTAAATTTAATAAAAATGTAACAAGATGTTTTTTTTGTTTTTTTTTGTTTTTTTTTTTAAATGGCGGGCACTTGGGGATTGTCCCATTGGCCACAGGAATGCCAGAACTGCTGCTCTTTTCTCGTTACCCAGTGGGCACCTGTGGCGAGGCCACGGCGGTGGACCAGCGTCGCCCACGTCACGCAGCCACAAACCCGTTTATAGGGCGGACAGGGGTGAAAGCGAGACAGAAAAGAGGAAAGGCTGGTAGTAAAACCATTTCAGTTATAACTAGGTTTTGTGAGGTGTTAACTTATTTTTAAAATTATTCAACAATATTTACTTTATCGTTGGAAAATAAGCAGTTTTATATATAGACTAAAATTACAAAATAAATCTTGATATTTACAGATATTTTATTTTTCTCAAAAAAAAATGCTATAAGGAAATGTCTTTCGTACCAGATTTTGCACTTTTCCGAATTGCTATATAACAGCTTTCAGTCACGAGGGCGGGTCACATTCACACAAAGGAGAAAGGACATAGAACACAGAGAGAGAGAGAGAGAGAAAGAAGCATCCATACCCTGAGCAAAATTCGAGCCCGCGACCAATGGCTCCGCAGTCAGACACGCTAACCACTCAGCCACATTGTCGGCTATAACAAGATGTAAAAATGTAACAGGATAGATTTTCAATACGAAGAATCATTAAAAAGAAACATCTAATTGACATTCCATAACAAAAGCAAACGATTTTGATACAAAAGATCAAATGACAGCTTTCTCCTTTATTTACAATCGTCAATATACTTTATTCACAATTTTATTCATTTGCGATGGTAGGTGTAGATAAAGCATTGAATAGAGTTGATAATACCTCTTAAAATTGAACCAATAGTAGTTCGTAAAAGATATGTTTCAAGAAGAAAATTCTTTGATTTCTGTGGAATGCATTTAAAACGATGTTGCATATTTTTGCTATACAAAAGCTTTATTTTCACAATTCTGCGTTTCTTGACTGTTATGAGTTGATTTTGAAAGATATTTAATTATTTAGCTGTACTATACTTGATAAAATTAGACGTACCACCGATCATGTTATGCCACAGCTTTAAAAAGGATTACCATCTTTGAGATTGTTCTTTTGAATAAATAAATAGAAAAAAAAAAGATAATTGTGTATGTCACACACATTTGAATATTTTAAAGAAGTGATTACTTTTGATGATTGTTGCACTGCGTTTATTTTTTCGTTCGAAAATGTTCTGTATTCCAAATATGTGATTTTAAAAAGAAGTTTTCGACTTTTGTTGTGGTTATTTTGAAAACTGAAAGTGATTACTCATCTTAGAAGTTTTGTTTTGTCAGCAAAATTAGTTCCATTTGATGCAAGAAAGACGTGTAAAAGTTTATGAAAGAGGTGAGTCCTACTTATTTAATATACTTACAAACCAGTTCTTAAATTTGAGAATAAATTTTTATTTGCTATTTAAGCTCAATTAGAATAAGTTAGTGTTTCATGTTTAACGATTAAAGTATATAGATATGTTTTGAATTCACTTTCGATGTTAACTTTCAGTTTAATTCGTCTATTTCATTTCATTGTTGAACGGTTCTTCCGTCTTAAAATGCATATTGCTTGTTTATTTCCGGTTTAACAGTCAATGTAATTTCATTGTAGTCACGTTTTCTTAGTATTTTTAGTAAGTACCCCTATCAACAATTTTGTAAGCGACGTTCTTTATGGTTTTCCTTTTGTAATCCAAAACGATTGATTTGGTAAAGTAAATAATTTATCTGCACATTTTTCATCACTTTTGGCTTCCATTTTCTACTAAATTCAAACATTTTTCAAGTGTCAAAAAATTAAACATTTTAAGCTTTATTTTAAATTAAAATCTTGATCTTTTAATACTGGATGTGGACTGTGCCCTCGTATAGTTTGATTACAAGTAATCACAATTATATGTAATTACGATTACATCTAATTATGATTACATGTATTTTTTTATTCTTGTAATCATAATTACCCGTAATTATTTTTGTTATGATTACTTGGAATTACGATTACCGTTGTAATAAAACTTTTGGTGAATTGTAATCAAGATTACAAGTAATTGTTTGCTATAATCAATTATTGTAATCATGATTACAGTTGTAATCAAAATTATAAAAAGTTTTAATCACGATCACCAGTAATTGCTTACAGTAATTGATTGTTGTAATCACGATTACAGATATAATCGAAATTATATTATCCTGTAATCGCGATTACAGATATAATCAAAATTATATTATCCTGTAATCCCGATTACAAGTATTTGAATAATATAATCGATTACATTTTTGCCCAACTCTAGTACATAAATATATATAAACGTTCTGCTTTATTTAAATAAATATGACTTGATTCGCTGTTTCCATAACTCTGATAACGTCGTTACCAGATTGTAACAAAAATTATAGTAATAATTATTAAATAATTTATTAAATAATATTAATTAATTGAATAACAAAATTGTGACAGTGACAAATACTCATTTGTGTTTTAAACTACCATGCGTAGGTCAAAAAAATATACAATGTTTACCTTTAATGACGTCACATTTAGAAGCTACCAAAGTATCAACAAGAAGCTACCAAAATATCAACAAGAAGCTACCAAAATATCAACAAGAGATAGTTAATTCCAGCTGTGACGTCATCGTGGGACGAAACTGTGGTATATTCACGTCATCACTAGATGAGAAAAGTTTACACTATGAATTTCACAGCAATGGAAATCGTTTTCCTCGGCAATGTTATGTGTTTAAGTCGAATTTTGTAACGCCTTACACATATTATTTTCTAAAAAATAGGAAAGGAATGCGAATAAGCAGAACAAAAGCAAAAAGAAAAATTTATCTACAAAAATAAGAGAATCAATGTACTTAAACTGAAGTATGCATTTTCAATTGAATTATTGTTATGAAGTGTATTTATAAAACGATCTCGACTGGAAAGATTTATATATTACCACAGAAATGCGTGTCAGTCAAAATAAATTCAAATATTATCTTTCATAAATTCATCTTTATTTATACCTTTGCCTTGAATCTTTATTAATTTTTACCTTGCATGGGATGCCGATGACATTTTTTTTCTATTGGGAATCAGTTGAAAATATCAAAATGGTTTTTATCGAACGTTGTTAAATTTTTTTCTTTCATTTGTTTACAACATTAGCATCACCAAAAAGTAAATTTATTGTTTATTTATTTATTTATAACTAAAGGGGAATCTAATGCGTAAAGTGAAGAGTAGATTGTTTTTATTTTTGTTTTTATTTTCTCTTGCAAGAAATTTTTGTACGCATCTTGTGTATTTTCACAGAGCCGATTTTAAATCCGTTTCTCTCTGCATACTACAGTTTTATTAATATATTTTTTTTAACAAACTAATATAACTTTATTGGGAACAAAAACAAACGTATAAATATAAAGAATATATATTCGTCGTCAAGAGGAAAATCCTGTCCAGGTGACAAAGAAAAGTAATACAATAAATTTAAATTAGAAATTTTAGGAAAAAAGAGGGGAATATTACAATCATAAATTATTTTGCTCATCATAAGACATCATATATTGTTGAACACTGTAATAATAAAAAAAAATACATGAAACTATATAAAAAAATAACAAAGGTAACATAAGAAATTTATTTGGATTGGCACAAGACTGGTATAAAAAATCAAATGCTTCCTTTAAAGTGAAAAATAGAGATCTAAATCGTCAATGTTCATCACAAATTGAAATAAAGCACGCTTAAAAGAAGAATATATTTTGATGTTTTGCAACTGAAATGGTAATTTATTATATAATTTAGGTGCTAAGTAAAAAAACTGTTTTCGTGAAATTTCTTTTGTAAAGTGGGGAATCTCATATATTTCAGTTGGTCTCCTTTCAGACACATTAGTTTTTAATTTGCATTTATTAATCATTATATAATCAATCAATCATTAGATAATTTATAATTTTTTAATTTGCATTTATTAATTTGTTTTTAATTTTAATTTACTAATCTATTCCCAACCAAGATATTTTAAAATTTCACTCAAGTAAATACTCAATGTCATCTCTTCTACGCTACGTATGAAATCATAAGAGATGGACACAGTTCACACATTTCAATTTATGTTGTTGATACATTAAGGTTATATGCTTTTTGTCTTGAGTGTTATTTTCATGGGGGCAGACAATTGTATATGTATACAATGCATATAAATGTATACGTTCTGATATATTTCTTATGCATACGTTGATTCATTTAGGCAAAAAATATATTGAACAAAAAATATTAAACTAATTTCAGATTTTGAAACCCCAAACCCAAATAAGGTATAACCAAGCGATTGTATAGCTCACACAAAAAATTGCATCTTTATGTAATTACTAAATATTTTCAAATGAACTAGGCTACAATTAGCTTCAGACCGGTGGTTTCCAAATGGTGTTCCGCGGAACCCTAGGGCTCCATAGAAGAGAAAAAGGTATTCCGCGAGTTTTTAATTTTTATAACTAGTGATGAGTTTTGAATATAATTTATTTAATCTTTAGGTTATCTTAATGAAGTTATTTCAAGTATAATGCTTAAGAAATACGAAAGGCAATTTTTAAAAGAAAATATAATATTTCTGTTTCTAATAACAATAATTTTGAACAAATTATGAAAAGAAAAATCATTTATAAAGGATTACTTTAGTATTTCCTATTACGCTTTTAAAATCCAAATTAAATTATTACTATCTATAATAAAGAAATATGCTCGCTTAATAACCATTTTTGAGTCATCATGCTTTTAAGTCCTTATTTTGAAGTAAACAATAATTGTTATTTTATTATTCATTTTCAACTGATATATATATTTACCAAAAACAAACCCATACGTAGGTTAGCTATAGCACACGAACTGCAAATTCAACTGTCGGACATAAAAAAATTTAAGATGATAATCGTAATTTATAATAATTTTAAATTATATAATGATAATAATCTTATTCTTAAACTAAGATTACTTTGTATAATTTAAATAATCATCTTAAACTATTAAAATTAATCTTAAGTTAATAATAAAATAATTCAAAATCTTCATACCTCTGATTGAATATTTAAAAATTGTTTTTTATGGGTTTAACACTCACAATCACCATAATAAACTTCGTTTATAAAATCAGGGTTCCGCAGAAAGGTGGTTGATTGTTTAGCATTCCATAATTGAGAAAAATTAGGAACCGCTGCTTGAGATCACTTGCATTGAAATTTTGAGTATGTGTTGCAAAAAAGTATTTTTTATTTTTACTTGATGATTACAAGTTCAATTTTTTCAAGAGTTATAGCAAGTAGTAGATTCAATGTCTGACATGAACAAAATGATGTTAAATTAGATATTTTATGTTGGTTGGTTTTATAAAAAAACTAATATCAAATTGTTCTATGTAAACATTTTTTTATAAAACCAGCATTGAACTTATCGTTCTTCGCCATGGAAGGTATTGGAAGTATTGCTCAGTTTGCTTTGCCTGGTGAGCACCTTGTGAATAAAGTCACGTAGGCAGAAAACATTAACCATGCCACACTGCCACAGGTACCAGTTCATAGAGTGGGCCACATTCGCACATCACACACAACAGAGGACAACATGCCCTAAGCGGGATTCGAGCCGCTTCGCAGTCAGGCACGCTAACCGCTCGACCACCTCCCCGGCAAACATGATAACACCAATATTTGTACCTTTCGGATGGAAGAATTCGACCATTACTGATGGCTAAATTTTTTGGTGTTTAATTTTTGAAAGTTTATTCAAATGTTATTGCTATGACTTCGGAGATAAATGTAACAGTTAATGATTTTTGCGTACAATTAGAACATAAATTACGAGAGCATTAGATTTTTTCAATTTATTTCATCACTTTCTTTCGTATGTTTATTCATTATTTTTAAGTTTTAGAGAAAAGTTAGTTCTGGTTTATCGAAAGTAAACCATAAAGTTTTCAATTGCCGGAATTGTTTTCTTAAAAATTTAAAACTGCAAACTAATTATGTCAGGATTACTACTCAATTTTTTAATTATCCTGCCATAAGACATTTTGACTTTAATTTTTCGAAATAAACTATTCCAGCGTTTGAAATTTCATGGTTAACTCTCAGTTCACTTGATCTAACTTTTTCTATATTTTAAATTTTCAGCTTGAAGGTATTGCAAAATTTACCTCGAAGCATTTTTCTCGCGTTATAGCTTCCTCTTAAAGAGTCTCCACAACTAAAAAAATATTCTATTTAAACATCTTAACTGATGGAAAATTAAGTGGACATAACTACCTTAATAACCCTTTCGCGCCGACTGTCACAAATACGTGACAGCAAAAAACCGTATCAATCAGGGTGAAAAGATAAAACTGGTAATCAAAGTATTTCTTTAGCAGTTTATTTGTGGGCGGAGTTATAATTGTTTGATTTATTTAATTCACCATTACTTTGTTCAAAATAAAACTATTTAGTTATACTTTGAATTAACATTGATTATATATATTATTAAACTAACAATAATTAAAATAGAAGCAAAGTAAGTCTGTCAAATTAGTAACGACTACATTTAAGTTACCGTTTTTCATTTAATTGCAACATGATTCTGATTTTGTACGAATGCTTTTCTGAATCACCCGTCCCCAAGGGGTTAAGCCTCTAATTAATATTTCTGTTTCATTTTATTCATTGAAATGTGTTTTTTGAAACCGGAACTGAAATGTGTTTTATTAAAATGAAGGAAAAGAATATTAATTAGTAACTTTCTAAAATAAGGAAATGGCGTTCATATACCATTTCTTAGGATCAACATTATTTACAGTCTATCGACATACTTTGTCTAAAGTGGAATACCACTGAAGAAATGTTAAGTATCAATGTCATTATATGGTTGAATTTCTACATTCTGTGATTGCAGCATCTCTACAGTTATATTCTTAAAAAATAAACCAAACAAAGACATACCTAGAACAATTATTATGAGTTAAAATCAAATTTTGAAACAGTCCAATGCAAAATATTTTCTAAAAATAGAAAAAAAATAGATGAATCAGTAAAATAAAAAATAAATTTATGTATCACAAACAAGCATAGAAAGGCACTTAAAACTGTTTTTTATTAAGAATGTTTAAGAATGTTTTTTTTTTGAATTATTGAGTATACCTCAAGGCGATCTCGAGTGGATGATAAACAAACGAGATGATAAACTGGAATAAAATGAACTTGAAGAAAAATAATTATATATTGCCCACAACTATTTTATTTAATATATCCATCGTTATTTACACTTGTTTTTTTACTTTCCATAGGATACTGATGACATTTGTTTTCCACAAGGAATCAATTAAAAAAAATGATTTTGTTCTAATATAGATATTTTCTATAGATTTTCCTTTCATTTGCTTGAGACAACATTAGAATCACAAAAAAGTAAGATTTTTTTATTTCATGTTGCTTTATTTTTTTGAATTTTTAAATCGAGTGTTCTTAATTTTTTACTCTTATATTTTTTATTGCTTAACGTAGTGCATCGATAATTAATTAAAGTAGAAATTTATAATTTTTTCTCGACAATGAAGCCCTAAATAAAGTGAGATCCAACTTGTTTTGACAAAACCCAACTTTATAAATAAAGTTTATTAGACCTGAAAATAGGATAACCAAAATAATAAATCAGTGAAATGCTGTTAATTATTTTAAAAATCTTAAAAATGAAGAATGAAATATTTGCATCGTTGTTTCAATAATAGTCTTAAAATTCGATTTTATTGACATTCATTTGAAGTTTCACAGAAAGGAACTCGATGAATTTTATATGAAATAATGCCACAAAAGAAACTGACATAAATGTCGGGAAAGAAATAAAAAGAAAATTGGACGATACCAAATTTGCGGGTGTAAAAGGGACACCATTTCCAAAAGCTTCGAGCATTTAGCATGCATTAAGCCAACGCCTCCTATAACTGAAACCACGTTTCAGTTATAGGACGTTTTTTTTGTCCACGTTTTTTTTGTAGGTAGTCCGATTAGACCACTATTAAGATAAACCAATTTATTAAAGAGCCGTTTAAGATGAAATCTATTAAAAATTAGAAAGTGGTAGCAAATATATGTCTAAACATTTGTTTAATTTATGAATATAATTGGTGTGTTTCATTTACTTGTCAACCACAACAGATTCAATTCTCAAATATATATAATAAATTTCTCTCAAGTACTTTTACAGGGATGCCAACTTGCTCCGCTTTGAGAAATAGTATTTTCTAGTGGTAACGAAATTTAAGTTACTTTCAGTTTAGTATTTTTCATTTTAAGCAATTTTGTCACCACTACATAACAAAAATTATGAGTAAATAAAATGCAACATTAAAACATTCAACTACTGGTTACTCTAATAAAAAGTAGGCGTAACTATCCTTCTTTAACGAATTTTACTATATAATTTGATACCACTTTATTAAAAATATTCCAGAAAGCACAGCAGTTGGCATCCCTGCTTTTAAAATAGAATTTGGGTTCATGCGCACGAATGGTTCTCTTTTTAAATAGTCTGCGCATACTACTTATAAGAAACCGTGTGGAGGCTTTTTGATGTAGGAGGTGATGTGTAGGCTCGGAATAGAATCTGAAGTGAGATAAAAATGAAGATGGAATCATGTGAGGTGTAGCAGGCATAATGGTGGGTCTATTTTAAAAGTTATGGAGAGAAATTTATAGATATTTGAGAATTGAATCTGTAGTGGTTGACAAGTAAATAAGACAAACCAATCACATTCTTAAAGTAAACAAATTTTTAGACATATATTTGTTACCACTTTTTATATTTTAATAGATTTTCTATTACATGACTCATTCGAAAACTGGCTTACCTTCATAATGGTCTGATCGGACTATCTATAAAAAAAACCTGTGTGGCTATCAGTTATAGGAGACGTTACGCAAAGTCGCGTATACCATCGCATACCCACAGTTTGCGGACCATCAAGGAAAAACATGCTTAACAAGCAATCATTCAGCTTCAATACTGAATTAATAATTTTGTGTGCGAAACATTTTGTTAGCACAGGTGGGTGGAAAAGAATAGAAAGTTAGCATTTAACGATACTTGAGTCAAACGAGAAAAGCCGAAGAGCAGGTGTGTGAAAGTGAGAAATTCCTCATTAGAAATGAATTAAGCAGATGGTATTTTACAGATTTTATTATCATTTAAATTCAATATTTTCTTTTTTACAAAAATTGTAATGAAATTTGATCTGAAGAGATTATTGACCATTTAATTAAGACTTTTTCTTCCGAAAAATTTATATCCAAGATTTATGATCATAAAAAAATATGTCTTTAAAACTGATACCTGAAAACTCCCCTGTACGCTTCCCTCTTTCATGAGGAAAATAGAGTGATATAAGGAGGAAAATTTGAATTTTTTTCTGCACTGGTTAGGTATTGTTTGAGATTTACTTTTTATGTTGAATCGAACTAACCTTAAAGATAACTTTTAAAACACCACAAGGGAAAAGAAAAAGAGGAAGACCTAAAAGATTGTTTGAATAAGGAAGTTTACCCCATCTAGATGGGGTAAGCTGACTGAAATGACCTTAACCGGTAACAGACTGTAGTGCCTGAGACGAAAAAGAAGAAGAATCGAATGAGACCATTTTCGAGACAATCGGGATATTAGTTTAGATATTAAAAAAAAAAATTATATACTTAATTCACGATTTCGTAGGGGAGAGTGGGGTCAATTGTAACAGGATACGATTGTAACAGAGCAAAAATTTCGAGTGTCGGGTTCTAGATTTGGTTCCTAGGTGGCGCACAAGTAAATCTACCAGTACACCCCTGCTGGCAACCATTTTTATGTACTTTTGAAAGAGTTACATCACAAAAAATATTTTCACGCTACGTAAGTACTTTTTTAAGTATTAGAATATTATATTGTAACAAAGTAATTTTGTTTAAAGAAATAAAAATTATTAACCGAATATGTAAGTGGACACCTAAATTAACATTTCAATAAAAAAAATTGTTTTCGTTAATTAACTAGCATTGTTCTTAACAAATGAAGCTGAAATGGCGTCTTGGGGACGATTGTAACATAATCTTATGTTTACAAACCATTACTAAACTCTTTAAGAACCACCAATAGTTTCCTATATTATTTAAATTATGTTGCATGTGCATTATTTTATTTGTCACCTTTCTCAGCATAAATTAAAATTTTGAACTCCTTAAAGTTAAACGTTTAACCCTTTAGGTCTCTGCTCATTATTATTTTTACTCCTAAAATATCACTACTATTTTGATCAATAAAAAAATCTATCACAACTATGATAATTTGTATAATTAACTATGTTCAGTTGAATTTATGAACGGTTACGATTGACCCCGTAAGTGGGGACAATTGTAACAAGTGCACGACTGTCAAAAATTGTTAATAACTATAATAATAACATTTTTAAAATAAGGGTTTTTTTTCCTAGTAGAGGAAAGTCTACTTTACTCGTCTGTCAATTAATACTAATAATATATTGGATTTTTTGTTAGTTAAAAATAGTTAAGTAAAAAATGTTACAATTGACCCCACTCTACCCTACTTATTTACTTTTAAAATTGGTATTATTCTTTCGAAGAAGCACGCCTTCTTCCTATAACAACTGGAATATTAAAAAAGTTTGTCCTATACAGTGAAAAAGTGAAATTTTTTAAAAACGTTCCATTTTCCTTTGACACATTTCTAGTTAGAATGGAGGATTTCTAATTAGGAGAGTGAATGCAACTTCTTGTTGTGTCAATAAATTGCCTTTATAATAATAAGAAAAGTGTTAGACATTTGTGCGAAAACAGAGCTAATAATTTCTATTATTAGCTTCCACAATTGATTCAAAAATTTGCAATTGTATTGTTTGAGATTGATATAAAGAAATTTAGACTCTAAAAATCTATCATAGTTGACTTAAATATTTTTATTTGTGTGAAGAGTGAATCTGAGCAAAAAATTTAACATTAGATCTTTGAAAACAATCTCTAAGAATCCTTAACCCTTTCGAGCCGACTGTAACAATTACGTGCCAGCATAAATTTCTCTAGTATTATATCTCTAATTTACTTAGCTATGTCTTTTTCCTTGTTGTTTTCAGTGATTCCAGCTCGCATTGTATTGACAATCCTTGGCTTCTTTGGCTACATTACCATTTCTGCAATGCGAGTGAATCTCAGTGTAGCCTTAGTAGCCATGGTTGGAGTAACTCGACCTGGCAATGGAACTAATGAAACAACGATTACGTGTCCGGAACTTATAATTACTAAAAACACAACAACAGAAGATGAATATTTAGTAAGTTTTAATATTAAGCTATGTTTAAATTAACTTAGTATTGAACTTATTTATGTTATTGCAGTCAAAAAGTATTTCTGGATTGCTATGCGATTATTTGTTATATATGTTACCGTGAATGATCGAAATTAAGAGAATGTCGTTTCTCACCGGTGAATGTCAACAATTACATAGTCGCTGTGGTGAATGTCCGCAATATATGTTATATCCGATTTGATATTATTTTATTCGTTGATATTATTATATTTATCCAATATTTTAACACCGTTGAATGCCACGCTAATTTTACATGGCTTGCTCGTCAGGCCACTCGGTAAATAACTACAAACTAAATTTGCAAATATAGTCAAATTTTGCTGGTTTGTTAAAGGTTTAGCATAACACATATCACGGAAGTGGTGAATTATATGTGCCTACGAATTGTTTAAAAATATTGGTTGATAAAAATCTACTAAATTGAATTTATTAAACCAAGAATCACAATAATTAAGTAAATTTTGAATAAATTTTCTGCAATTCCATAATAGAGTGTAGATTTTATAGTTCTATATCATGTTATACGCTGTCAGTCAGCTGTTTTTCGCGGGCTATGTGAAAGGTAAGTGTCAGCCACCGGTGGTTAACGCGGCCTAAATGGAAAGTGCAGTGTCAGCCACCGATCGCTGACGCGGAGCTCAACATGTTAATATCCACTGAGGATAAATTGGGAGAAACATCAGTGTTGGAAGTATCAGTTAAATACATACTGGGCAGTGGCACTTGACCTTAAAAAAACATTGAAATATGGCATACCGGACAAATGTATACCGGGCAGTGGCACTGAAGCTTACAATGTATTGATGTAGGAAATACCGGGCAAGGGCACTTAACTGGACAAACGTTTTGAGCTGTGCATACTTTTGTAATCACGCATTTTGAACTATGACCAATTTCGTAAACACACATTTTGAGCTGTGACTATTTCTGTAAACATGCATTTCGAACCGTGACCAATTTCATAAGCACGCGTTTTGAGCTGTGAATACTTTTGTAATCACACATTTCAAGCTGCGTCTATTTTTGTTAACACGCATTTCGAACCATGACCAATTTCATAAGCACGCGTTTTGAGCTGTGAATACTTTTCTAACCGTCGAATTATTTATTTCAGCCAGATGGTGAATTCGATTGGAACTCTGATCTGCAAGGCCAAGTTGTGGGTGCCTATTTCTATGGATACCTTTTAAGCCAAATACCAGGAGGAATGATAGCTGAAAAATACAGTGCCAAAAGGGTCTATGGATTAGGAGTCCTAGGTTGTGCCATTGCTACTCTACTCACACCCATAGCTGCAAGGTTGAATGTATGGACATTCATATTTGCACGAGTTGCAGTAGGGTTTTCTGGGGTAAGTATAAATTGTAATTATTAAGCATTTAGTTTATAATTAGAAAATCTGGATCTGTTCTTATATTTAGAATTCTTTTTTCCATAAAAAGAGTTAAACAGTGAATTAGATCATTGTAAATACTTGGACATATAAAAAATTTTATTTTCTGCATTTATCATAAAATTACAACTAGTACATGTGTTACGAGTTAAGTTCTAATCCATCGATGCGTGCATTGCCTATCTGATTTGTAGATGTATAAAGGTGTTGCAAATTAAGTAAGAAATCAAGAGTTTCCCACATGTTATGAAAGTAGCAAAGTAAGTTTTTTAGCAGCATCAATATCATAAAAGTTCAGAAACTTTATTCTATATATATACGCACACCTATGTATATATTTCAGACTCTGTGTAAGCAATCGTGTTTCTTTAGCAGTAAATTTTGCATCGACCAAAAATCAACCAACTCCAGACTTAAGACTAAAAACGTATGACTTCAAACATATCGCATCATAAAATGAAGTGTGTTATCTTCTTCTTACGAACACGCCTTTTACGAGTACAGAAATAGGGACTCTTAGTATTCACAAGAGGAAATTTTAAAAAATTCGGATGAAAGGTAATAAAAGAGGTAGGAAACAAGGTAGTTTTAGAGACAAACTGGATCGATCACAGGTGTAGTGGTTACTCTACTAGACTACGAGGCCAGTAGTTGTGAGCTCGAATCCCAAAGTAGGCATGGATGCAATTTTCTCTCTCTCTCTCCCTATCCTTGTTCTGTCTTTTGTGTGAATATAACCAGCCCTATCAAAGGGTTTGTGGTTGTATGACGTGGGAGACGCTATTCCACCGTTGTGACTTGACCACAGGTGCCCACTTGATAACGAGAAGAGATTGCAATTCTAGCATTTCTTAGGCAAATGAGAAATAGACCCCAAGTATCCGCCATTAAAAAAATAGTAAGAGACAAACTTATCGCAAATTTGAAATCATCAGATCAAATCTTTTTCTCAAAAATCTTCTCAAGATCTTCTCAAAAATACCAAGCCACAGTAAAAAGTGCTTCCCTGAGTTACATCTTATCTTCGCTTAAGAATAATTTCTCTGGCATTTTTACAGTGCTCGTGTGTGCCAGACAATATCATACGCCCAATTTGCATTACGAGTATTGGTTGCAATGTTGAATATTTCTCGTAAGCTTTTCTGATAAAAATCACTTTGTGTTGACGTAATAAATTAACAATATTTTCCTTCATGTATCAATGTCCAGAAATCGCATCAAAATCAATTCCAACCATACATTTATATTAAAAAATACGTTAATGTATATCCACTGGTTATTATACGGTAACAGGAGAGATATTTGAAAGTGGTGTGTTGCATCATCCCTCAAAAATTGTCTCATGGCCGTAAAATATTCATTTGTTTTTGGTAGTGTTTTACAGAATTAATATGATGTGAGATTGTCTTTTTTTAATCTTATATTCAGGGAATAGCTTATCCTGCAATGAATGTTTTGGTGAGTCGATGGGCACCCAAAATGGAAAGAAGTCGTATCTCAACTACGATGTATGCAGGTGGATTGTTAGGAACACTTATCACAAATGCCTCTACAGGTATTCTAAGTGAAGGCACGTTTCTCGGTGGATGGCCGTCTATATTCTATATATGTGGTAAATATTCTACCCAAGTCGTAATAGTTCTGAGTGTGTACTTCTAACCAAACATCATAAGTTAAAACTAAAATATCTCTGTTTAATATATGGGTTTATTCTTTTCTTAGCTTATTGAATTTACTGCTGAAGTTATCTGTACACATTTAAATAGTTAGGATGTGTCCAGCGTGTTTGGAACGTCAAATTCTTCTACACCTTTTGTCTCGAAAAGGGTTCAGTTACTGCTCCCCATTGACTACCCTGAACATGTGGTTTCTGCAAAAAAATGTCCGTGATGTGAATTTCCAATCATATGTGTTGTTTATTGATGAGGCTACATTCATTTACCAAAGTCAGCATTTGGGGGCTCAACAAACCCCCTTTGTGTGCGGTAACACGCGGCAGATAAACGCTCAGTTAATATGTGGGTAGGTTTGGTCGGTGACTGCTTAGTCTGGCCATACCATTTACCATTCAAATTGAATGGCGCGAATTTTCTGATCTTTCTGGAGCAGGCTCTTCCAGGCTTGTTTGACGATGTTCCACAAAAGGTGAGGCATAACTTGTGGTTCAAACATTATGGGGAGCCTGCTCTTTTTGGATTGGATGTTTTTGACCATTTGAACAAATCATTCCAGGATCGATAGATTGGGCGTGGTGGACCAGTGTGCTGTCTCTCACGCACACTGGATTTATTGAGCCCTCATTTTGTTTCTGTAGGTATACTGTAGAGTCTAAAATGGATATCACGGCAAGATTTGACTGCGCAGCTGCTACAATTAGTCCGGCTTCACCCTGTCCCGCCCCCATTTCGGGGCATCCAGGGAATAATGTTGAAGGATCGGTTTAGGCCAGAAAAGTCAAAGGAAAAAAGTTTCAAAAAGTCTTTTAAAAATCTCTTCAATTCCTTTGTTTAGTTTCTTTTGGTTCCAGTTTCTTTTAATGGTATCAAAGTTGAAATTTCTCGGGAAAAATTTAATTCTTAAATCATCATAAACAGGACAGACAGTAAGTATGTGTTCGATATCTTCATAAGTTTTACAAACTTTGCAGTTCGGGTCTTTCGAACAATTTTGACTGATAACTACCTTGGGCTCCATGGTTAGTTAGAAATTGATTGATATAGCAGTTGGAGTAGATTTTTCGATTGCTGACTTTTGGGATAAATTGGTAAGTGTGTCGGCCTTTTGTATCATCACTATCCCATCTTTGCTGCCATGTTAAAAGGTTATTATTCATAAGTTCTGTTCTTGTTGTTTGTTTTGATGGTATAGCATATAGATCTATTGTTGATTTTTGACAAGCTAATTTGGCCTGTCTATCAGCTTCCTCATTGCCCTCATATCCTTTGTGGACTTTAATCCAGTTGCTACAATTAAAGAGTCCGTCAATTAATACCATATCTGTGTCAGGCTGATGGCGTAATCTTCCTGCATCTTTTGCAACACCAAAGCTGTCGTGCACTATTTGTATTCCTTATGTCCAATAAATATTTCAAATTAATCTTTTGTTTCCTTTCCCTTCGCCTACCTCTGCTACCACTTACCCCTGACATTTTCGACCATAGGCTCCTATGCAATTCTCAATCCTTATTACGTTCCCTACCTCCCGTAGAAGTATATACTATAGTGTTCGAATTAATTGGGACAAGCCAGATTTTTTCATTCGAGTTAGTATGGGATTGCCAGTGATGTCCCGAACCGCTTCAAACCAGTTATATCTGCCTTGAGCTGCTGTGACGGATAAACCTTCACTATAATTTACTCGTCTGACTGGTTTTAGTGTATTTGTAGTTCAGTTGTGAGCATTTCAGTGTGGAACCTGGTGGTTATAATTTTAAGTTTAGTCTAACACAAGTTATGTGCTTATAAAAGATGGATATTAGTCCGAGGAAGCGCTCTAAAATTATCGCTCTCAATTAACACACTTCAATTACTGTAAGAGACATCGCTACAGCAGTTGGTGTAGGGAAATCTAGTGTTTCCAGAATTCTTAGAACATTTCAAGATTCCGGCTCATCCTCTCCAAAAAGAAAAGGAAAATGTGGACGTAAACGGAAAACTACTCCAAGAACTGATAAAAGTCTAATAAGAAATAGTAAAATTAATTCAAGAAAGACGAGCGAAGACCTCCGAAGGGATTTATTGGATTGTGGTGTTGATGTGAGTACTTTGTACGAAAAAGGCTTCTAGAAGTTGGACGTAAGGCATGAAGACCAAGGAAAAAACAATTTCTAACTCAGAAAATGATGAAAAAACGTTTAGCATGGGCCAGAAAATACCAAAAATGGACTGTAAATGACTGGAAGAAAGTGGCTTTCAGTGATGAAACATATTTATTTGTGCAGGGATACAAATCAAGTGTAGTTAGACGATTGAAGGCGAAAGTCTGAGACCAGATCATATCCAACAGGCTGTAAAACATCCTTCTAAACAAATGTTTTGGGGTTTCTTCACAACAAATAGCACTGGAAGCTTAGTGCCTCTAAAAGGCATGATGAATTCAGCCAAATACATCGATATATTACATAGTAGGATTGTTCCATTCATGGAAACATTCGACGGAACATTTCAACATGATTTGGCCCCTTGTCACAATTCCAAACTGGTCCAGAATTTTATGCGAGAAAACAAAATAAAAGTGCTTGATTGGCCTGGTAATTCACCAGACCTAAATCCCATTGAGAACCTGTGGCATATTCTAAAGAATCGCTTAGCCAAGATGAATTGCACGACAGCAGAACAAATGATAAAAAGTGCTATTCAAGTATGGTTCCACGACGATGAAGTCAAGAACATGTGCGCTACACTAGTG